ATATTTAAGAGTTGAATTAATATAATGAATTAATATAATTCAGAGTCTGGAATATTACATTATTTTTGTAATTTTTTGACCGTTTTAAAAGTTGCGACCTACTTTTACACATTTTGCCTTTTTTATAATGCTCCCAAACATAACTTATCATCAAAATTACTTTATAAAACGCGCAAAGTGCAAAACAACAATGACTGAACATCACTATAAACCAAATATTACACGAAAAAGGCATTCTCTTTTCATCACGCCCTATTTCTCATGAGTTGTCCACCTTTATGGATCGACTGAAAACGTCGGAGCAATTGAGAGATTAAACCGAAGCCAGAAACCAGCTGTGATAGTTGCCTCTGCTCCCAGGCGAGGCTCGTGATAACAGCTCTGCTCATCAGGCATTCATAGGTGGAATAATCCCTCCCCTCATATTTGTTTCACGCTTGTTAGTGCTCGGCCCACAGTTTAGCATTCAGCTGCTAAGTAAAGATATTAGAGTCCAAATGAATGTGGTGATGTGCAGGGCCACAAAGAGCACTAATCTGAACTGACCCTGGTGGATTGTTTCCTGAGGAAGCTACGGGACAGATTAAGCTGCAAAAAGACAGAGATGATGCGAGCAGAGATTAGTCATGTAGCGAGCAAGGATCAACCCCCACCGCCACCCTCCGCAGACCACACACCAACAGTGTAGCCATGTTACTATTGTCTCTAAGCTCCCATCACTGTGGACTCACAGACAATTGTTTCTGAAATCCTGCCGCGTTTACCCAAAAAACTTTTGATTGGCACTTGTCAGCGCTGATAGAGGCTTTGGGGAAAAGGTCTGAAAGGAAAATCCCATGAATAATAATTTGACGAAGCTTTTTTTTTTATAGTCCACTTCCCTCCTTGTCTCCTATTCTTTCAGGAGATAGAGCAGCAAAGGTTCTGCAGCACTGAATAGCTTCTGGACGCTGATTGTCTCGGTGCTGCTCATCTCTTTCTCAAACATGCAAATAATAAAAAAGACACAAGTCCAACCTTCTTGCCTCTGCCTGGTGCGCTGGATGCTAAGGGGTGGGCAGTTTGTGGTGTGTGTTTTGTCTTTGGTGGCCTTTCTGAGATCAGCGAGGGGATTTGACTTGGCTGCTTGCAGCCAAATCCAGCTATCTGCTGTGCTCAGATGCTGCGGTTGCTATGGTAACCTGCTCTGTGTTTATAGATCAGCTCTGGTTTCCAGCCTGACCTGACCCACAATCACGTCAGTGCATTCGTGGATTAGCCCTGTTAGAGGTTAGGATAGGGGATTTTTGTTTAGGAACTATACCAAAGCCAGAATAATTTTAGTCTGAGGCAGAGCGCACTTCATTCAGTCAGAGCTGAAATCAGATGTTTTGTCCGAAACAATTTTCTTTTTTTTTTGTATGTCTCTTACATAATTTGTTATCAACAGTTAGAACAACTCTTTAAACGAAGAGAATATAAGCACTATTTAGTTGTTGCCCTACTTGTAAAAATATTTTAAAGGTTGTCCTGATGCACGAATCATCCAGGTAAATAAATCCAAAAAAGTGAAGTCAGGTCATCTGGACAGATTGTTTTCTCAAAAATAATAATAACTTTTAGCCCTTTATCCAATTGTCATGCATCCCTACAATGGAAGAACAAGAGGTCTTGTGTGTTGTGCCGTTGTTTGCCCACAACACAAAACTATGGAGACATCATCCTGGACGTCTCCATCTTAACATTGAAACAATTCAAAATAGAGTTTAGAGAATTGTATTAAACGTTTTAAAATATGTCATGACACAAAATATGCCTTTTTTTTTTTAAACCAAGCCAAACTCTTGATTTTAAAAAATGCAACAGATCTAAAAAAAAAATGTATGTGGATTGCAGCATTTAGTAACAGGAAACCTTTTTTTTTTTTTTTTTTTTAACATTTTAAACTGAAAGTTCAGCTGTAGCTCAGGGCTTCCATCATACCCAGCCCAAACAATAAACCCTGTTTCTGTGTGCTGGTCATTTTTAAATAAAAATATGTTTAAACGTCTTAAAAGGCTGATTGTTACAAGCCCCTCTTACCTTCTCATGTAGAAAAGTGTTTTTTTTTTTTTTTACATACAATAAAAAATTGTTCAGATATAATGGGTCTCCACTGACTAGACAACAATCAGAAACAAACTTTAGCTGTTAAATTCCTGAGCCTTTTCTATAGATTCAGCAAAATGTTGTTAAGCTATCAAAGTTCATGCCCAATAATCTAGGTAAAAAAAAAAAAAAACAACAAAGTTAAGTCAGGTCATCTGGACAGTTTCTTTTTTCTTTTTTGTTGAAACGTTTCATCCGTCATCCAAAAGACTTCATCAGGATACCACAACCAACTCGGTCCCACAAGCAGCACATTCACATAGTGGGCCAACCAGTTTGTTGGTTGATGATGTGTGTTTTTATTTACTATGGCTGAGATTGTTAACTCTGCCCATGAACCGCATGTTTGGGGTTAGTAGAGAACTGGATGAGGAGCTGAGTGAGGCTGAGCTGTTGCCTCAAGGACGCCTCCGAGTCTGTGAGCTCCTGCTGTTGATTGTTGCTCCTTTTGAATAAGATAAAGTGAGAATATTCTCCAGCAATGAAAGCCAGTGACTAATGCTTGCATGTGTGTGCTTGTCTGTCTGTTAGATATAATATGTGGATGGAGTTTGATGAAGGACTCGTGCATCTCCAAATGTGACTCTTTGGAGGTAACCTGATTCAAGATGGCCTCCACAGCCTATTAACCTTAATACAACAGAAATGGCGTTAATGAAGTCAATTATGCACATATTAAATTTGAATTTGATGTGATTATTGCTGAGAGTCATTTAGCCCATACTCTGTGTCCTGATAAATTGTGCAAAGTCTTGCTATTTTGTGTGGGATTGAGGCAGCACAGTGGCTCAGTTGGTAGAGACGCCACCTTTCAGCGAGCAGGTCGCCACGGTTCAAATCCCAGTCGGGGGCCTTTCTGGGTGGAGTTTGCATGTTCTCTCTGTGCATGTGTGGGTTTTCTCCGGGCTGTATCCAGGTACCAGACCAGAAACATGAATGTTAGGCTGATTGGTAACTCTAAATTGTCCCAAGGTGTGAGTGAGAGAGTGAATGGTTGTTTGTCTCTATGTGTCCCTGTGTTGGACTGGAGACCTGTCCAGGGTGTCCCCCGCTTCTCACACAGTGACTGCTGGATATGGGCACCAGTGACCCCTGCGACCCCAAAAAAGAAGAAGCGGGTAAAGATGATGGATGGATGTGTGGGATTGTGCTTAACTTTATTTTCTTGAATTGATCATAATGACAGAAATTCAGTCAAGAAGAATTTTAGTTTAAAACTCTGCTGTGAAAAGTGGCAGGTGGTGGTGGTGGTATGCATTTCTTTCAGGAATGCTAGACCCATTTGTGCTACCCTGTAGTCGTGTTTCTAAGAGTGTAAGAACTGAAGCCCAGGAAGACTTGAAAGGTGGATGGTAAAATTGAACAGGACGTTTATTTACAATATTTACAAGATATATTTCTGGGGAATGGGTAAGTATTTAGAGTGTCCAGCTTAGAGACTTGAAAAGGATGGGATTCCAGAGTTCCAGGTAGGTGTTGAAGAGTGCAGGTCGAACCAAAAACGGAGGTAGGTGACAAGATCCTATAGGCTCTGTATAAGGGAATGGTTCCAAGGAGTAGTCCAAACCCAAACTCAGGCAGAACTAGCTGTTGATACCAGACTCGAGGAAACAAGAACATAATCTTTCAGGGAGCACAAGGAAAGCAAGCTTAAACCTTTTTAATCACAAGTACACAGACCGTACACTGAACACCGTGTCAGTGTTTCAATGGCGTCCTCCGGCAGCCTCGCACCTTATATAAAGCAGAAGGTTCATTAGGGAGATGACAACAACACTACAGCACTATTCTCTGACATTTGACAGAATTAATGAATCCCATTAATGAGTTTAAAAACGTAAAAACATGAATTTAACACCCCACATTTTGTGGCTAATATAACATGTTCAAACAGAAGTTCTGCGTTTTTGGAAACTGAAACCTTCACTTGTCATTCATCATGATGTCAAGAACAGGGTTTTATGCTGCATGCGAGGACAAATGATGAATTTTGTGCCGTGAAGATGAATAAATCCCCCGTCCATTTTTCTGTTTTGGTGACATTGGAGCTGCGGCGGCACACGAAGGCGTGTGATTGTGTGCAGCGTGGTGGAAGACATCCTGTCAAATGAGACACGGCTCCATCAATCTGTGCTGCTGACCTTTGCACGCTCGCCGGTGGAATAAATGAATTCTCCCCGCCACGTTTGGAAGGCTTAATGAATCTGGTGCACGTCAGCTACTCCAATGGTCAAGCTCTCTCCTTCTCAATGAATAAAACCATCTCCAGATGCAGCACTTTTTGAATTAACAAAAGAATCTCTCATTTTGCATAAGTAGCACGAAGAAAAACTCCTGAAACTCTAATGGAAACTGTTGCAGAAGACAATCGCAGACTTCTTTAGCCTCAAGTCTGTACTGATGGCGCTCTTTGTCTCCACACTTCTGCACCAAGAAGTGTTTTCAGTGGACTTTGTGTTGGGAGATAATGGTACTCCTAATTGGCTGAGCGATGACAAAACAGATGGCTGTTTAAGTTTCAGGAACAGTGTTCACTTCTGTGAAAGAACTGAAGGGAAGTGTGGCTGTGATGAGAATCATGGCATGTGATGAAGTGGCTTTGTGCAGATCTTCATGTTCATTCTTGTGTTTTATACATTTTAACATTACTAGCTACAAGCATTGCTTACGTTATTTTAAAAGTACATATATATCTAAAGCTGTTTGCTTACACTCCAGGTTTTCATTCACATTTTGAGAAGTCCATTGAGGAGGAAGCCAGTCTTCTGGGAATGAGCAATCAGGTTCAGCAATCGGACGGAGAAAGGGTGTTCAGGCGTGTTGAAGAGGAGAGGGACCCACGGATGGAGGAGAGGAAAACAAAGGCGTTAAACATGCTCTCCAAACTGCAGGACAACACACCTCAGCAGAGCAACGGCAGCAAAAGTCGCTCCAACTTTGAGGAATGTGAGTCTCTTCTAACAAATAAAGCATTTATTTTTTAAACCGGATCAAAATCAGAAGGAAGTCGCTGTTTAAACACGTCATTAAATGGAAAAAAGTGGTTTCAAAACAGCAGGAGAAATGACAAAGTATTTATTTATCACTGACGGGGATGAGATGCAGGGAACTCAAACTGAAAATCTGATTTGGAATTAAGCTGGGATGTTGTCGCAGCAACGCGTTAAAGCTGTAATTTTAATTCGTTTAAACAAAGGATTTTTTACTGTCTTTACTGACCTTGTTCAGCCCTGACTAAACAAAAATGCTAAAAAAAAACTTTAAATATTCTCCATTTTGGTTGCCTCACCGTTACTTTTAATTATATTTTAGTATTATTTGGTAATTAAAGGAGTAGTCCCGTCAACTTCACAGTGATATTTGACTAAGTGTTATCCGTAGTTAGTATCTTATCAGTTAGAGTATGGAGTGCTGAGAAAGAAGCAAACACCATATTACTGTTCTTATTGCAATGCACACTATGCAGGGATCAGCCAGGCCTCCATCTCACGTCTTCAGCTCATCCAGAATGCTGCTGCTCGGCTTTTAACCAGAACTTGTAGGTCTGAACATATCACACCAGTTCTGTCCTCCCTTCACTGGCTCCCTGTTCGTACGAGGATAGTCTTTAAAATTCTTCTGTTGACCTTCAAATGCTTAAATGGCCTCGCACCCTTTTACCTCTCTGAGCTTCTGGAACCTTACGTTCCCTCTCGGGCCCTGAGATCATCCGATCAGCTGCTTTTGGCTGTTCCAAAAACAAGACTGAAGCTCAGAGGAGATCGGGCTTTTTCAGTCATGGGCCCCAAACTCTGGAACAACCTGCCCCCCAGCATCAGGCAGACCACCTCCATTCCTCACTTCAAATCCCTGCTTAAAACACATCTGTTCTCTCAGGCATTTCACACAGTGTAAATTGATCTAGTGTTTTTTAATCTGTGACCCTATTTTTTTAAATGATTTTTATTAATTCTTCAGTTATTATTATTAGTGTATTGTGTATATATATATTTTTTTTTTCTCTTTAATTTACTCATTGATTGTTGTTGTTGTTAAGCACATTGATAACAGGTTCTGTTTTAAATGTGCTCTATAAATAAAGTTGACTTGACTTACAGTAATTAGAAGCTTGAAAACTTTTTTTTTTAATGTACTCAGTTTTTGGTTTTCCATGCATCCTCTCGCTGATACTCGTGCTCTCTGCTGCTACTTCAGACCACCAGAAACTTTTCCACTATGATTTGAAACAAACGGACAGCTCGTCAGGATTCTGTCGTCTGAACCGGCTGTTCTTGCTTTGCTTTGGTATAGAGTGCTTTAGATTGTATTTTTCTGTTTCTTTTCTGGAAATCATGCTGTGCTTGTTTTTAGTCCTACTGAACAAACAGATAATAACGACCATCATGTTTTTACAGTCTCGTCTGTTTATTCTCTACTCCTCAATCGCAATTATTACTTTTTTTCTTTAGTTTCATTAATGTCTTATAAAATAAAAATAATTTTATAATTCTGATTCACTTGATAAAGCTGCATGGTAAGTTTAGAAGAAGGATAAATATTGGGAAATTGCAGTGCAAGTCTTGGTTGGATTTGGATTTGACATCTTGTTAAATGCTGAAGAAGTATTTAGTAGTAGTATACAAGTCGTCACAAGTAGTATTTAGCTTTCATTAGTAACACATTGCTTACAAAACTCTTGCATTTCTTTCTGCAAATGGAAACCAAAATTTGATCTTTGGAATATATTTTATTTTATCAAATGGGAAATATTGCCTCTTTTTAAAATCCGATTCGTTTGGGGCGTAGATTATTAACAAGAAAAAGATGCTCGTTAGGGAAATGTGCTGAATTTGTCACCGTACAATCTGTTTTTGTTTCGGCCTTCAGTGTTCACTAGGGTCTTTTTTTATTTATCCTGATGAGTAGTTTGTGCACACACACAAAAGTGTTTGTGTCCCCCAATCTGACGACTGTCTCCCATCCAGACTCCTGTGGCCCCTCATTAGTATCTGAATGGGACTAACAGGTTTTAATTGGTCTTGTTTTATCCAGCGCTGACAGCCTGCCAATGGATTCCCAAAATTCTCTCCCTGCACACTCCACATCCACGAGTAACTTCCTGTATTCAGCCACCCATATTCTGTTCTCCCCTTTGACCTTCCTGGTCACCATCAGTCAGCGAGCGCTGCAATGTGGCTCGTGTTTGAAGTCAACATTCGTTCTGCAGCAGAGAGTTTGTACACAAGCACAAAGAGCAGATAGATATAAACTTGGTAAAGGGATGAAAAGTTTGTACAAACCTTTGTAGACGTAAGAAGAAATGTTGGTTTAAGATGAAACGATCACCAATGTAGGTCAGGGTTCACCATAGAGTTGACTAATGAGCACATCTAACATATTTTTACTTTGGCTCACAAATCTGACAAAAAATAAAATAATATCCCAGGCCAGTTAATTCATGTTAGAAACAGCACCGAGTGGAAGTTTGTTACTGAGGGAAGAAGACTCTGGGTTAGTTAATTATAAACCAATAAGAAGTCTGAAAATGAAGTCAGAAGAAGTGAAAGAGGTAAGAGGCTTCTTAAAGAAAACTGTATTGGATATTCCCTCCGTCATTGAAATATACTGTAAGTAAGGTACCGGTGGCCACATCTAGGCTATCAAATATTGAGTTGTCAAGTCAAATTCCAAGATGGCCACCACTATACCTATACATATATATGTGTGTTTGTGTGTGGGGAAGGGGGACTGGCCATGCCTATAATTTGAGGAAACTATGCTCTGTAGTTTTTCTATTGCATGAAAGTATAGTTTTCTCAAATTATTGGGGTGGCCCTTGGGGTTGCAAGACCACCATTAACCACCCCCTGGCTCCGCCATTGCACATGGTGGTGGATAAAATTTCTCCCTCAACCTGCCTGGATCTGCCACTCTGCGCTACTAGGGACAAACAAAAACAAACAAACAAACAAGAACCTTCTGTTTTGTAACTCCAACCCACTTGAATATTTTGTGTTAAACCCGTTAAGGTTTATCTTGATGCATGGGAAATATTGCCTCTTTTTAAAATCCGATTTGTTTGGGGCGTAGATTATTAACAAGAAAAAGATGCTCGTAAGGTTTACTTACATTCACTGTTCAACTGCAGTCCATAAAATCACTTCTGTCGAAAACAACAAACATTTACTATTCAAATCCCTCAGCAACAGGCATATCAGCATACCACTTGTCTACACAGGAATTATTTAATTGATTTTTGAATAAAATATAAATTAAATTGGTTAAATTTGGAACCGTTGGCTCGTAGATTTACAAAAACCTGAGAACTGGGGTGTGTTCATCTCTATCTGTCGGTCTCGGTGGTGACTTTATGAAACGATAAAAATTAATCCAACACTTACGATCTTCTGTGGTAATTCATCCAGTTTTCAGTGTTTAAAAACAGCAACTGTTATTGTTGTTATGTGCTGTTCTTCTGGCAGCCAATAGGAAGCCGTTTCATTCAGCATGAACGTTGTCCTACCTGTCTGACTACGGATATCACGATCTGGTGGTTTGTTGAACCCAAAGTGCAGACAGATGCTCAGGGAACTCGAAGGTAAAATAATAATTATTATTATTAAATGAAAACAAAAGGCTGACGGGGCAGCAAAACTTGCATATAATAATGAGGAGACATGGGGGAGACGAAGAGGACGCCTTTACAGGACAATCCACTGACGGGAACAACAAGGAAACACTAATGGGAGACAATGACGAACACCTGGGGTGACTGGATTAGAGGATGTGTGTGACAGGAGCTGGCAACATGAGGGATAAACACCGATGAAGGCAGGGCAGATGACACAAGAAAAACACAAATAACACACAGATCCTCTAAACTGCAGCCATATAGGCTGACAACAGAAATGATTGGACAACCTAAATCCAATACTTAAAATAAAAAAAAGAAGTACTTTCATATCCAAATGATTAAACTTGTCCCAGTAAATATCAATTACAGAAATGTAGCAAACGTTTAAGAGGTCATATGTTGCACAGAAGTATATTTTTAGATCCTTACTATTAATGGACTAAAACATTCATTCAACCTTTATTTATACAGGTTAATCCTATTGAGCCTCGGGGACTCATTTAAAAGAGAGACCTGATTTTAACAAAGAATGATGACAACAGAAGACACTCATAAAAAGCACACAAACTGAGACAAACAATTAAAAGAAAATGGTATTAAAAAAACGAAACAAAAAAAGCTAGGTTATAAAACGATGTAGAAAACTAAAAACAGGAACATGTCTGCATTGGTTTTTGCCATGAACGTAGCAGGTGTTTGAAGCCACTTAGAGAGGTCAAGGTTGAGAGCTTCAGATCTTTTTGTAAGATATTCTAAGAAACAGGAGCGGAGTAGGAGAAGGCCCTTTTGTCTAGTTCAGCCCCCACTGAGAGAACACTGCAGGTAATAATGTCCTGAAAGCGCACGCTGTAGCTGCACTTGCGCAGACATAGGAGGAGATGTATGAAGGCAACAGATCAAAAAGTGATTTAAAGATGAAAATGTACCAGTGATAGAGACTACGTGAAGTTAGTGATGACCAGTTAACCAGTGAATACAGGGTGCAGTGATGGGTACGATAGTTACAGCTAGTTATGAATCTTAGTGCATCCTGATAGACAGCGTCCAACACCTGCAAGGTGCTGGGGGCGTTCATGTAAATAATGTCACCATAGTCAATGGAATGAAGGAAGTTACAAAGCAGTTACAAAGTGTTTCCTAGCATTCAGAGTTAAACAGGATGAATTTCTGAAAAAGAAACTCAATTTAGCTGTCTTTACCAAGTTTTCCACGTGAAGCTTAAAGGAGAGATGAAATCAATCAAGAAACAAACATTTGTAGGAATCGACAAACTCTATAGGAACACTATTCAAGGATGTAATCGAAGGAAGAACTGCTGGGACCGATTTCCTGT